CCCCCTGTCACTCACAGACAGGCACTGCCACACCGAGCTGTGCCCCAGGCAGTCACACCCACAGCCTCCCCCTGTCACTCACAGACAGGCACTGCCACACCGAGCTGTGCCCCAGGTGGCAGCCAGTCACACCCACAGCCTCCCCCCATTACTCACAGACAGGCACTGCCATACTGTGCTGTGTGTCCCAGGCCACTCACACCCACAGCCTCCCCCTGTCACTCGCAGACAGGCACTGCCACACTGCACATGTCACTGAGCTGTGCCCCAGACCAGTCACACCCACAGCAGACTCTCCCACCCCCACCTCCTCATCTATCATGGGCAGACACTGCCACATCCTGCACACTGACCTGTGCCCCAGACCAGTCACACCCAGGCCAGAGCCTACCCCGTCATTCACAGAAAGGCACTGCCACACTGCACACCAAGTCATGCCCCAGACCACCCATTCACACAGCCTACCCCCATCGTTCAGATACAGGCACCAGGGCCGTACCTAGACATTTTGGTGCAGCCCCCACACAGGGAGGGCATCCCCAGGCCTCCACGGCGGGGTGTGTGGCCCCCAGGCCTCCGTGGGGGGGACGGGGGGACGGCAGGAGCAGGCTTGGAGGGCAGGGGGGAAACTGCCTCCAGATCGAGCCAGCAGAGTGGAGCGGGTTGGGGCCAGGTCGCTCCACTTCCTGCCACCGGTGATTGCAGGGCAGGCCCGACCCCACACTCCCAGGGCAGCGGGAAGTGGAGTAACCCGGGCCCAACCCACTCCACTCTACTCCCCTGGCTCCCAGAATTGGGACTTGGGGGATGGGGGAACCGCCCCCCAGCACTCACCGGCGGTGCGGCTGGGAGCTGGCAGAGCTGAGCGAGCTGGGGCCTGGTCACTCCACTTCCCGCCGCCTGGTGAGTGCAGGGCGTGCCCGACTCCTGCTGCAGTCCCCCGGGATGTAGTTTGGGAAGGGTGGAGTGGGGGCGGAGCAGGGGTGGGAAAGGGCGGGGGCAGAGCAGGGGCAGGCGCTTTGGGAAAGAGCAGGGCTGGCTCCAGCTTTTCTGCCGCCCCAAGCATTTATACACATGGGCACTCAAACATGAAGGCACAGACACAATTAGTGATACCATAGTGCCATAGCAGCATAGGGGAAAATCTCCCACCTACAGCCTCACCTCAAGACAACCCCTGCCTTTCCTATAGGTCCTCATCTGGGCTAAACGTCCAGTATCTAGATCTGGGACTGGTGAATCTAGGTGTACACCTTTTATAAGTAGCAGGGTGAACAGTTAGGGCTCAAATGGGCAGAAGAATCCTAATATGGATTAATGGCCATTAAACCCCAGGTGCCTGGCAGAGGACCCTCTTTAGACAATGTCAGGAGCCACATAGCCAAATTAGCAGGCACTGCGGGACAGATGCAGCACCCTTCAGCCTTGGCTCTCCTCTGGGTAAAGTTTGCGGTATCCCAGAGCATGCATCCTGCTACTATGCACCACAGGTTGCACGTTAAACTATTCTGTGTGGACAATCTACTGGTACCAACAGTTTCCACCCTCCCATCATCATTCATCAAACCCTTACAAAAAGACTCATGACGTGAGTTTCCCATTAGGCCTGAGAAGCTAAAAGCTGGTAGTCAACAATCTCCACATGAGCGGTCTAGGTGTGATGGTTGCATGATTCTCGCTCGGTGATGGAAACAGAGGTCCTACTTAGGCAACTAGGCCTCACTTGCCTCAATCCAAGGAGGCCCCTATAAAAGTTGGGGGTAAAAAAGGCTCGCCTCTCACCGACTCCTGGCTGGTTTCCCACAATCATCAGGATCTCCATTTTAAGTGAGAGAAACAATTTTAAAAACGGACAGAAACTGACAATTGGATGCTGGATCGTTCTCACACTACTTGGCTCAATGGAAAATTGAGCCTGTAGAAGAACTGCAATTGTATAAAAAGAGGTATACAGGTATCAAATAGATATTGCTGACTTATCTGAGACTAGACTAAATGACAGTGGTACACTTAGAGAAAAATAATACACTTTCTACTGGTCAGGCTACAAGGCAGATCAAAACATCAGCCTACACAGGGTAGGTTTCGCAATAGCAAACTCCATCGCTAATAAACTACCACAGCAACCTATGTCAATATCTGAGCTCCTAATGACATTGCAGATACTTTTGTCCCACAACAACTTTCTGACAATAACAAGCACCTATGCCCCAACACTACTTGCTCCTGAAGAAATGAAGACTCAGTTCTACAGCCAGTTGAGTGACACTCTCACTCAAGCTGCTGAGAATATAGTTAATTTCCAGTTGAATGACTTCCCAATCCTGTAAGCATATTTCAGCAAATTTCTGATGTAGTAGAAACTCCGAGTCTTGAGGTTCAATGGCAGTGCAAATCTGCTTGGTCCACATTCACAGCTGACCAAACCCTTCCATTCAGCAATATGTAGGGGTAATCATTAGCAGAAACATCTCTCTGGCATAGATTCCCAGATCTCCTTCACAGGACTGGAAAGCCACCTCTCTTTTCCATTCTGGTACCTTGAAAACCGCTATGTTCTCCAGATGTTGCCCAGCCTTTAAAGAAGAGATTGCAAACTGGTAACATAGCCCCTGGAAGGAACTGCCAACCCCCCCGCCCCGACCCCCTTGAGACACTATAAAAACTTTACATTTGAAAAACATAAGTACATTTATCGCACCATTATTTGCCTCTGCTCCTTCCTCATGGGCTGCAAAAGTTGTCTGAGAACCAAGGAAAGTTTAACAGTCACATCCTGGAATGCTGACAAGTAACAAAATTGTAACCTTTTACAGCATAGTTATGTTATGTCGGGGGATTACTCAGTTACTTCTAAAGAAAAGCTTCTCTTTGAATCAGCAGGTCCTTTGGCTCCTGAGAGGGAAACCATTCTGCCAGGAGGGCAGGAGCAGCACCCCACACACAGTGGAGGCAAATGGAGAAGGATGCTGGAAGACCTGCTCAGAGGGATAGACAAGAGGAACTAGCAGCAGTCTTAGCTCCTCAAGACATGGGAGGATTGGGCTCTTCAGCAGGAAGAGACACTGATGAACCAATTAACAGCGCAGGAGCCACACCATAAGGAACAGGACGATGCCCACAAGGAAAAGGAGCATTCCCTAATGAAGAGGCTCATAGAACTGGTAGCCAAATGAATTCAGGGTCTCTCTGCTTCTGAGGCCACTGCACCTGTCTGTAAACTGTCACCCCCTCTTCCTTCTCCTGCTGCCACACAGGATGCGGCTGAGCATAAAGTATGGAGCCCCATATGTACATGCCAATGTTTCATCATATGCTTTTCCAGCAGCTGTATAAGGACTGTGATGGGTTGGATCACAGAAACCCCCTTGGGAGCTGCCACCCAATGAGCAAAGACTACCCCTGCTCCTGTTTTCCCTGCCAGCTCAGGACTCCAGCACCCTGTCTTGCTGAGCCAGACACTCCAGTCCGCTCCAACACAGACCCAGGGTCTGAATCACTTGCCCCAAAGCTGCAAGTTTACCTGAAGACAGCTCACAGAAGTTTGCTTGTCTTTAGCACTTAGATGCCCAACTCCCAATGGGGTCTAAACCCAGATAAATCCGTTTTACCCTGTATAAAGCTTATGCAGAGTAAACTCATAAATTGTTCGCCCTCTATAACACTGATAGAGAAATATGCACAGTTATTTGCTCCCCCAGGTATTAATACATACTCTGAGTAAATTACTAAATAAAAAGTGATTTTATTAAATACAGAAAATAGGATTTAAGTGGTTCCAAGTAGTAACAGACAGAACAAAGTAAGTCACCAAGCAAAATAAAATAAAAAGCGCAAATCTATGTCTAATCAAACTAAATACAGATAATCTCACCCTCAGAGATGCTTCAGTAAGCTTTTTCTCAGACTGGACACCTTCCAGGCCTGGGCACAATTCTTTCCCCTGGTACAGCTCTTGTTGCAGCTCAGGTGATAGCTAGGGGATTCTTCATGATGGCTCCTCTCTCCCTCTGTTCTCTTCCACCCCTTTATACAGGGCCGGCTCTAGGATTTTTGCCGCCCAAGGCAAAAACAATTTTGGCCGCGCCCTCCCCTCCCCCGTTTTTTAATTACCCCACCCCCGGCCCCGCCTCAACTCCGCCCCTTCCCTGCCTCCTCCCCCCAGCCTCTCAAGCCTAGGAGGGAGGGGGAGAAGCGGCGCCCGCGCTGCGGCCACTCGGAGTCTCCCCCTCCCTCCCAGGTTTGAGAGCCTGGGAGGGAGGGGGAGACTCCGAGTGGCAGCGGCGCGCGAAACGGCTGTTTTGCGTGCCGCGGCTGCTCGGGATCTCCCCCTCCCTCCCAGGCTTGAGAGCCTGGGAGGGAGGGCGAGTAGCGGTGCGCGAGCGGCAGCAGCGGAGGTGAGCTAGGGCGGCCGGGGCACATTTTTAGGGGCGGCATTCTGGCGCCGGCCATGCCGCCCCTAAAAATGTGCTGCCCCAAGCACCAGCTTGTTTTGCTGGTGCCTAGAGCCGGCCCTGCCTTTATATATCTTTTGCATAAGGCGGAAACCCTTTGTCCCTCTGGGTTTCCACCCCCCCTCACTGGAAAAGCACCAGGTTAAAGATGGATTCCAGTTCAGGTGACATGATCACATGTCACTGCAAGACTTCATTGCCCACTTGCCAGCACACACATATACAGGAAGA